TGTGTGTATGTGTGTGTGTACCATTAAATCGGATCTGACTGGTACAGGAGGAGATTGCCCCTCCTTCTCCAGCTGAGCATCTGGTGGATTTGAACTGTGCACCTCTGGGATTACAGTGCAGCTTCTTGCCGCTAGGCCACCAGAGCTCCCCCTAATTCTTATTTAGATTAAGCTGTCAGCAGAAGCCCTCTTTGCCTTAGAGACAGAGTAAACGGTCAGTTAGTAGGTATTAGTAATGACTTAGAACATGATAGCACTGATTTAAGAAAATCCACTATTCCAAACTAGACTGTTCCCATGAAATAAAGGATCGTTCAATAAACTGAAAAGGCATAAGCCTCAGAGAGCAATTTCATTATAATTGACATGGCAAATATTCTTCTGTCTTCCAGATCCAAAACCAACTTACCAAATATTACATAAGACCTTAAAACTCACACTTACATAGAGTGTTCACAGGAATAATAAGATCCCACAATTTGGTGGGTAGAAGGAGGGAAGTGGATAAAGGATATAGGAAAGATCTGCTGAAGATCTGGAAAGACAGAGTAATAATGGTGGACATAGATGATTGATTTTATAAAACAATGAATGGGAATGATTGTATGAAACACAATATAAATGAAGGATAGTGTGAAGCACAATGTATATGAACTTTGTAAGGAAATAAATACAGAATAATGTGAAAAAAAACCAACCAACCTATACCCACATACACAAAAGACCATGGCTTGGATCAGTTGTACCTTAGTCTTTAACATCGCAGCTCCTCAGTGCCTTGGAGAGATTCTTGACAGCAGATTTCCCCAATGTAACATGTCTTTTGATTTAACTTCTCCTTCCATGATTGTTGATTGTGGATCTAAGTAAGATGAAACCGTTAAAACTTCCATCTACTCTCCATCTATCATAAGGTTGCCTATCAGCCCAGTGGGGAAAATTTTTGTCTTCCTGATGTTGAGCTTCAATCCATATTGAAGGCTGCACTCACTGATCTTCTGCAGCAAGTGTCTCAGCTCCTTCTCATTTTCAGCAAGGTTGTGTCATCTGCATAATGTAAGTTGTTGATGAATCTTCCTCAGATTCTGACGCCACATTCTTCTTTATAAAGTACAGCTTCTTGAATGATTTGCTCAGCATACAGATTGAAGAGGTATGGAGACATGATACAGCTCTAACACACTTTTCTTAGTTTTAAACCGTGCAGTGTTTCCTTGCTCTGTTTGCACAACAGCCTTTTGGTATAGGTTTCACATGAGCACAATTAAAGGTACTGGGATTCCTATTTTTCCAATTATCTTCTCAAGTTATTTCTCCATAACTTGTTATGATCTGCACAGTCAAATGTCTTTACATAGGCAATAAAACACAAATGGACATTCTTCTAGTATTTTATGCTTTCAGCCAAGATTCATCCGACATCAGCACTGATATTTCTGATGCCATGACCTCTTCTAAATTCTGTTTGAACTTTTGGAAGTTCTCTGACAATGTGCTGTTCTAACAATTTTTTTTCAGCAAATTATACTTGCATGTGATGTTGTTTGATAATTTCTACATTCTGTTGGATCACCTTTAGGGAGAATAGGAACAAATATGGATCTCTCCCAGTCAGTTGGCTAGGTGGCTTCAGTTGGCTAGAAATCTTTCTAATTTCTTGGTGCATACTGGTAAGTCCAGGGTTATATCTGTTTGTTGAAACATTCTATTAATAAGAGTATTATTCAAATACACATCCCCAACTTCTAATGGCAAAGATGAAGAAATTGAAGATTTTGCCAATTCTGCCTCCCAAGATTGATCAAAATTACTGGCAAATGGAAACAAAGAAGGATTATTGTTGTTGTTATGTGCCGTCGAGTCGCTTGCAACTCATAGCGACCCTATATACAACAGCCCTAAACTCTGTTCTGTCCTGTGCCAATCGCACTGTCTCTGACACTCCCATCCC